AATAAATAAATACCATTAAAAAGGCAGTATGCAAAACAGCCCTGAGCAGTTGCAGAATGTGAAACCACAAATCTACCCAGGCATCTCATCTTTAGACTGATAGCTGGAGTTCTGTGCAGTTTCTGTGTCTTCCAGATTGAGCTGCATACTGGAAGGTATTTAATTGGTGTTCTGGTAGGCAGCCTCTTGTTTCATGGGAAAACTGCATGTGTCTTCTTTCTAAACCTTCTTAATAATTTCCTTTCTGCTGCCTTTGAAGGCTGGGAAATGGAATCCTTTGCATGTAAGTTTCTCTGATAGGAAAAACACAGTACAGTATCTCTTTCTGTGGGCTTGCCGCTTCTCTCCTTTCTTTTCTGTGTCCTTTAATTGTTCAGCTGAATATTCACTTTGCTAAAGATTGCATGCTCTTTGCAGCTCTGGAGCCAGCAATTTGTTTTTGTTTTCTTCCTTAGGCTTTTCCCAAAAGGGCAGCATCCACTTTTCCCCCCAAATCAACTGAGTGTTGATCCATTGGATGCAACATGAATTGACCAACTGGCTTGTTGACCGAGCTTGACATCATACTAGAGCTAACAATTATTTAGCATATTCCTAGACAGAATGAAAATATGAAGCTATTTGACTCTTCTCTTGACCTCCTGTTCTGCAGACCTTTTCAGAATGGAAACATTTAAATATGAAAAAGGGAAATTTTTCTAGCGTTGCCCCCAGCTGAGCTTATCATTTCTATCCTGCCATTAACTTACAGGAGGGACAATTAAAAATAATTGCAATGGCCCACAAGGTTCCTGTGAAAATTGTATGGAATGTTACTAGATAGGGCTATTTATTTCCTTTGGTCTGGTGATTGTAAGAACAGTAAACGGCAGAGAATTTTATTTCTGCTTTGTCAGTGGTTTACATCCTACATTTGAATTCAATATACATGACTTAAACAATCTGCTGTTTGGCCATGAAATAATAGGTGTCCTGTGGACATCCAGCAAGACTTCAGAGGCTTTAGATGCTAGAGTTCCTTTCTTATGCGGTGCTAAAATTCATTACACGCATCAAATTCACACCCTTGCAGGTTCACTCAACCCTCCATCTCTTGTCACTTTTGATACTGCTTGGCCTTTTTCTGAGGCTCCTTTTTCTGTTTAGTAGGTGTGGTTTTTTCTTCTGCTCAAAATTTACTGCCTGCTGTTATGCCAAATGCAATTCACGATCGGGGATTTTATTATATAGCACATTAATTCATAGTATATTGAGCACTCATTGATGCAGGAGTAGGGAACTTTTTGGTAGTGGGATTTGGGGGAGAGCTGAGAGACAGAGTAAACAGAATGATATTAAGAATACAGCTGCAAGTTTACATGATTTCTCCCCATTTCTCTACAATGTATTTTCTCTAACTAACTATGTTAAGATTATGTAAGCTCTTAAAAGTGTGGTCTTCACATTCTCCACCTCAATATGGCAGGCAACTGCTAATTTGGGGAGAGTGTACCATTCAAAGTCAAGATTAGAGGTCACTCTGAGAACTACCCTAAAAATAAGAATTTGGGAGCCACATATGGTGGTTGGATTACAAATTGCCCATCTTAAATCAATGGCTCGCTAGTTGTTCATGCCCTTCTGAACTGCCATACTTCCTTTGCTGCTGCTTCTTGGCACACACCCTCTCCTGCTTATCTTGACTGCCACTACAGACATGGCTTCCAGTACTGATCTCTCTTCTGATCAGTCAAAAGCACGATTGCATGCTTTCTGTAATCCCAAATCCTGGTTTTATTATTATTATTATTATTATGGTAGCAAGTGGTTTGTTTTGTTGGGTTTTGGTTTTCATAATCCAATTTGAAGCCATGACTGGTAGCTTCCTATGTTGCTTGTTGTTTATTAAGGCCAACATTACTTCACTATCCAAACTTTTTTTTTTTTACTGTTGATATCTTTACTAGAGATATTACCAATGAAGTGCTTGGTTTGTCAAAAATGTATTTACCTATGGGAACTCTAGACAAAAAAATGTGTAATTAAAATTGTCAGCTGGAATCTCTTACGGCTATTTTGGCAAATCTAGTGGCGTAAGCAACAACAACCTCAAGACGAATAGCTGGTATAAGCTTCCAATATACTAGTGTAGTTTTGCAAGAAGTGATAATATGCCCTTATTGCTGTTCCTCTCCTTGTTTATATGGAGAGGAAGAAAAATTGAAAGCTTAAGCTGTAGATTCATGGATCAGATTTTCTGATTATCTGCCATTCTTTCCTCAAAGCGGGTGCCAGACTACATTAGCTTTATTGACAAGGGACATTCAGAGTGATAGGAATATCATAATGCTGAAGCTTGCTTTAGATCAGAGTGTCAAACTCATGTCATCACAGCAGTGTCACGTGACGTATCAGGACTTTTTTTCCCTTCGCTAAACCGGGCGTGGGCGTGGCCAGTGCGTGACGCATCTGGCCCTTGGGCCAGGAGTTTGATAGCCCTGCTTTAGATGCAACAGAAGTTGAGACAAGTATATCTTGAAGAGATTCTGGGAGAGATTGTGGAAGGGAGGGAGGGAGGGAGGGAGGGAGGACCGCAATACAGAAGTTTAAAAGGTGAGGTTAGAAGGCAGCAAATGGCAGAAAGGATGAAACCAGAGGTATCCAGCCTCCCTCCCTCTTTCATCTGTCTGTCTGTCTATTTTGTCTGTCCCACTGGGCGTATATGCAATAGTGCAAAATCTGGTGCATGAGTCTAACCTAGTTCTCAAGTCTAACAAATGGATCAGTCTGCTGTCTAACTTGAACTCTATAAACTGCCCTTTTTCCTCCCAGCCTAGCTCTAGTACCAGATATAAGATGGGCTGGGAGAGGGAAAAGCCTGAACTGATCAGATGCAGATGGTAAGGTAGCAGGAAAAGGGGAAAGGATCAAGCTCTTCTCAACTAAGTGTCCTTTCTGGTGCAAAGCACAGAAGCGGGTCCTCACCCAGCACCTACTGGTTTGATCCAAGTGTCCCTCAAATTCTCTGGTTTAGCACTTTAGAAGCATATAGTTAAGATGCAACTGGAAGTACCTTAACTCCCAGTTTAACTTTGAATGGGGGAAGAGAAACTGCCAAGAAACTTTGATAGTTGGCAATATAACAGATTTAACGAACAAATAAAAAACAACAGAACATAGAGCCAATCTCCTTTCTCTTATGCAACTGATACCAATGAGGTTTCCTTCTCCTCTCCCCGCTTCCCCTTTCCTTAACATCTTTTGCAGACAAAAGATGACCGAAGTGATGTTGAGTCCAGTTCAGATGAGGAAACCTCCACTCTTCAGTCAAGGACCTCCCACAGCTCAGCTACCATCAATGGGACAAATGGAACAAACGGGTATCTCACTGGTAGCAACTCTGCAGAGGAATATTAATCCTTGGAGTATACACTGCTACGTGAACTGTTTGCTACGGAAAACAAATAAGTTGTGGATGCAGGATTTGATTTGATTTTGTTCTCTCTCTCTGTTCTTCTTTCCTTCTTTTTTTTGTGTGTGTGTGGGGGTTTGAATCTCAGAAAAATTATCTACACACACTTGGAATATTTAAAGCTTCTAATACCACACTGCTTTATTTCCTGTTTGTAAATGACAGCGCCACATGATTTTCTGTATGAAGGCATGCTGTATCTATCTATTTATCTATATATCTCTGACCAGGGAGCAGTATTTTCTTCAGTAGATTTTTGCGTATTATATATTTTATATCTTACTTTGAGATGACTTCCAAATGAAACAGAAAAACTTCTTCAAGTTTCTCTTTTGGACTTCATTGGGGTTAAAGATTGCTGGGTTAAATATAGAGGGTTTTTTTGTGCTTGGTTTCTCTAGCCAGTATTCTGATATTGTAGTCGCCTGCTAAGATTTCTCTTATTACAAAAATCACACAAGCTTATGACTCTTTCTAGGTTGTTGTTGTTTTTTTAAAGAGAGGGAGGTTTCTTTTTGCTGAAAGATGCTGACTTTAGAACTTGCTGGTACAATCGCAGTTGTCATTTCCCCCCATTTTAAAATGTTATCTTGATAGTTTTGTATAACAGAGTCAGTTTGAACATTCATTTTTGTTCACTATACGTGCTATAAGAACACGTTTTTTAATTGCTTTAACCTCCCACCCCAACCCCAACTTAGTGGCAAATTTAATTTGGCTTCCAGCCAAATGAACTAACTCATCTTCAGCATAGGTTCCTATCTTGCAGATTACCTCAAATGTTCTGTTTGGATCCATTTTTCAAGCACGTGCAATTGAACTGGTATAAGGACTAGCTTATAATAATTATAATATTTATTTCTTGCTTTTACTTTCTTGTTATTTACAATATTCATTTCCTTCCCTGAGTAGCCATTCCAGCTGTTCCAAAATGCTGTTTAGAGTCTGACCAAACCATCCCAGTGCCTCATCTTGTGCATCAGCAACACCTGAGCTGGGATGATCCAATCAACTATCAATCGATCCAGGGTTCTTTTGTTTCTAGTCCTTCCAGTCAGTCCAGATTTGGCTGGGAGCCTGTCATTCCTTTTCCAGCTTTACTTATATTTATTTATTTATTTATTTAGCTGAAGCAAAAACTACACATACATGGCACAGGTAGAATCAGTACCACTGCAGATAAGTCAGGAGGATTGTATCCCACATGCATTCCTGTTATTATTATTATTATTTTTTGACACAAACCTTTGCAGGAGAGTGAAGTCTAAATCAGGCTCTTCTAGAGCTTTCTGTGTTGCAAAAGAGAGAGCAGTCAGCCCCAATTATCTTTATAGCTGTAGTATAGGAAAAATATCTGAGGGTTAGAGACCTTGATAGTCAGGGAAATGGGGGAGAGGGATTTCTTTCTTTCTTTTCTAAGCAGAAATGCACTCACAAATAGGGCTTCCACCCAAAGTTTGGAGATACCTAGTTTCAGCTCCACCAGGACTTACAGTAGTCTATCGATCAAGGATACCCCCAACCATCTTGGTAGCCTAGTTTTGGAGGGCTCATGGGCTGCTGTGAGTAAGAGTGGGGAATCCACTTTGCCAGTTAGTTACACAGGCCACATCTGGAACAAATGGTTTGAATTTCACGTCAATGCTTTTTTAAAGCTATTTTAGAAGATATACATTTGCTTGGCCCAAAAGTCACATGCGCCAAAGTTAGTACTGAAAGATCTAGCACAAAGGAAAGAACAGAAACTGGGAAGAATGTCTTTCTAGAAATAATGTGGGCTCTAGAGGCATGATGTAGAAGAGAGACTGAATTATCCACAGGGCTAGTTTTGATGGATCATAGTCAAAGGCCCAATTTTTACATTTACTGTTGGGGTGACGAGTGGCTCATTCAAATGGATATTATCTTACCAAAACCTCCTGCTTAAGAGGCACTTGCTTTTAGTTTAAATGAGCCAGAAATTAATTGTAAGCCAGTTTGGGAAGGTGGTCTGTTTTATGGGTTTTTTTTGGTTTTTTTTTTGTTTTTTGTTTTTTGCTGCTGCATATCTGCAGCTTGAGAAAAATTGAATAGTATTTTATCCGGCTTTATTATATGGGAAGAGCTTTGGAGGTAAAAAGAAGACAAAATAATTAGCTGCTCTGATTACCATTTATATGAAGAAAGAGACTGTTTCTTGGTATTTTCTGTTTTCCCAATGGATGTAGATATGCTGGTCTCAATCTTCCAGATGTTTGATTTGTTGCACAAGATCCCCCAAAGTATCTTAAGTCTTGAGCTGGTCTCTGGGCACTTGACTATTCTGTGCAAATACATTGGCAAAAAGAAGAAAAAAACCAGTTACTTCTGTGACTAAAAATCTCTTGAAATGCAAATATGGAAAACGTCCCCTTATGTTTTCTACGTAATCCATCAATAGCCCTGCACTCAAGAGTTTAAGAAAGAGGAAATTAACAGGAGTTGTGAATCAGTATTCATACTCTTCTGGATATCTGTTAAAATTTAATTGATACCAGAGTTTCTATTTTTATTTCTATATTGTCATTCCAAAGCTGTCACCCTTTGATTCAAGCTCAACTCTTTGATGCTAGGCTGAAGTCTTTTAAGCAGATTGATTACAAGGATCACACAAAGAACAGAACCTGAGTTGTGATAAAGTGAGATGGTTGAAATAAATATGTGTTTGATGTTCTTTCAGTTAGATAATATTGAAAGCAAACACTAATTTGGAAAGTTGGCCTGCTTAATCCCATGTCCATATAAACATTGCAATTAGATAAATAAAAGAAAGGGGTTTCAACTTCACTAGTTGGCACCTCAGCGACTAGAAAAGTGTTAGATAGTATGGGTGTTAAGGCTATAAAATATAAGTAAACAGTGTTAAACCACAGGAAAATTGGTCTCTCTTAATGCCATGAAGACTCCACCGGAAAGATGCCCCTTCTTGCACTTTAGGGCTTGTAAGAAAACGGGGATAGTATTCACCTGTCTGTAAGTTCAGTGTTCTCCTATGATTGTGCCTGCAAAGAGTCCAAGTCAAAATAAGGAATTATTCCCAGGAAGATTTCCTAGAATCCATCTGGTATTCCTTTGCCTCTAACGGTATTTTCTCACATAGCTTCTTTATTTAAAAAAAAAAAAAGTTTAAAAGGTCTGATTTGTAAAAGCTGTTTGGTCCCTTTTTGCACTAGAGTAAGAAATGCCGTGGCTGGAGTGTGTAGAATAGGAAAAAAAAAAATGAAGAAAACTCTCTGGGAGTTAGTAGCCTTTAGATTGACTGAATGTTTTAGTAGCCAGCCCTGGAGTAGTGAAATAAGATCTGTAGTTGTGTGCATTTATTCTGTTATCAAATAACAATGGAACGCACTAAAATAAGTAACAGTGTGTTTTTTTAAAAAAGAAAGAAAAGAAAAAGATTGGCTACACGTCTGAAGGCAAAAGTCTCTTTGGTATGCATCCAGTTAAGTTGGAAGTGTGACACCTTACCTGCAGTTTCAATCCAAACTGTAGAGTGCCAGATTAAAAATGCCAAAAAGAAATAATACACGTATCTGTTGTCATTTTTGAGTTGGCTCGGTGGATTTCTCATTCGTTGCCTCTTTGATGCAGATTGCCATTTCCTGTAGGACTGGTGTACCTGAGACCCAACATAAGTCTGGGTCAGAAACTTCAATGGGACTTTATCTTTGCGCTCATCTTGTAATTCAGCCCTTACACAGACAACTTGCTCCTTTCCTCTCCCACCCCGCTCGCCCCAAATTTCTACTGTTTTTAAATAGTACCCTTAATTGGAGCTTAATCACACGCACTGATTCATACTGAAAACTTATATACAATGGAGGGGAAAGTGCATACATTCCAGAATTCACTTCCTCTCTCTTCCTTGCACATCCTACAAAACACACACACACACACACACACACACACATTCTTTTGTGAAATACTCCCCATTTTGTTTAAGGAGAAAATATTGGATAGTAGTTGCTAATGAGATCAAGCTATGAGCCATTATTCTGAGAAGCATTAGTATGTGTTTTCCTCTCTACTCCTCTCACATGTTGAAGCAGGCTTCTTCCTTATATCTGATATATGGAGGTAGGTCTCTTGCGTCTTTTAGCAGAATAAAAGCTTGAGTTGGAATTATTAGAGAAGGAGATTAACCAACCATTTTCACATATTTTCAAATACATTTCTGGGAGTGAACCCGGAGGCCTTTCTTCAGACTGATGGCCTGTGAAGCTATGCTTTTGTTCCAGATATTCCACAACTGGAATTGAGCACGTTTGTGTGCTTTATGAATGCTATAGTTTCCCATAAATGATGGGCATATTGTTATGTAACTGAATGCCAGTTTCTTTAGCTTGTCTTACACTATATATAAAAAGATATGGGTTACACAGTATGCTAATGAATGGTTCAGGTCAATTATACAGTCTGTCATCACTTTAACAATACATGCCAGAATTTGGCATTTAGGGCTATTAATGTGCATTCTTTTCACCACAAAGTAATAGGTGTGTGTGCAAGCATATATACATACACATATGTACACACATATATTCACCACAACATAAACTTTAGTTTTCTGTAAGAAGCGGATGGAATAGTTTCTTCTCTCTTGTTATTAATATTTTAATTATTTCATTATTGTTTGCTGTTATATGTTCTGTGTATTCCTGAATTCTCATAAATTGAAAGTTTGGCATGCTACTGTGGGAATGACCAAAGTGTTCCAAATCCAGCCGTCTGGAAATCAGAAACAATCAAAAGGGCTCTTATTATACTACAAGAGTCTTCCTTGGACAAATGGGATGCTGCTGCTAAACTGCCCAATTTTAGTTTCTCTCTTTCAGAATTTATCTTGAGTTGTTGGAGGAACTTCCTTTATGTAGGTTCCATCACAGCATGTTTTTAACTGAAATGAAAATCAAGTGCCTGGCTCAGCTCTGCACACTTAGGAAATAGCTTCCCTTTCTTTTAATGTTGGTAGTATTTATTTCAACCTTCGCTTTAGCCTCGCACATTAATGCTACAATAAGGTGATCATAACCAGATGGCAATGACAATCAGATCAAAACAAAGTTTGATTTAAGGCAATCAGATATGATGGAGGGCCACAACAGATGGGCGTACCCCAAAAGATAACACCCTTTTTGTGCCCTGTGCTGTTTCAGTAGGTCAGCTCAGGACCAAAAGCGGTAATTTCCCCCCCTGAGATTTCAAGACAATCGAACAGTCTGAGAAATTCGTAGAACTATCAGAACTTAACTGGCATATTCCATGGTCAAAAAAAAAAAAAAAAAAAGAACAATATGTATAGCCTTGGATTTTGCTTCTTTCTCCTTTTTGTTGTAAATATAAAAATAACCATTCTTCTGGAATACTTGGAATCAATCAATCAATATTGTGAATTTAGATTTGAAAACACTTTCATAATAAACACTAAGCATTAGGACTTTTTTTCCCCACTTGTCTTCTTTCTAATTAAACGTTTGCAGAGGGAAGCTTAAGGCCTGAACCCAGGCTGAAGTCCTCTAAGCGGATGGATCAGAAGTTGGATTCACAAATCACACTATGCTATTACTTGTTGCATAAACCACAAGATCTGGACTCCCACTTCATGCCAAGCCATAAAACACGATTAGCCAAAAGCACATCGTAATTGAGCATCACACACACAACCCATTTACCTTCCAGTAATCTATAGAAACATTTGCATATGTTCAATAAACTGTGACCTCAGGCACCAGGAATATACACGACTCACCATAAGGAGCTTTGCACAGGGCTGGAAGAAAGCTGCATGGACCTTGCTGCTCCTACCATCTTGATGTTTCTTGATTGAAAGTCAGAATAGAAATATTTTGGGCAAAGCAAAGTTCGCATAAAAATTGATAGAACTTCAGTAAGGAAATTTCTTTTTCATAAGAATAGAATTTAGAATAGAATAGAATAGACTATGGAATAGAACAGAGCAGAATAGAAAGACAGAGTTGGAAGGGACCTTGGGGGTCTTCTAATCCAAGCCCTGCTCAAGCAGGATACCCTATACCATTTCAGACAAATTGTTATCCAATCTCTTCTTAAAAACTTCCAGTGTTGCTGGTATTAGTACCTATTTACATTGGATACAAGCCATATCCTGCCTGAAAAGACTATCTGACTCAGCACAACTTTCCTAAAGTGATGCATCACCGTTTCCTCCTGTCCCCAAAAGCAAATATGCCTCTGAAACAGATTGAGAACTGAGGAATCAGTGGAAACTTCTACTTGCCCAAATGGACGATCCTCCTATTGGTGAGATAGATATTCACAAATTGTAGTTTATTAAAAAAAATCTCAAGAGGCAAATCCTAAGGATTGTTTCAGTGAACACTCCCATGAGCTGTTCAGAGCATCCAGAAGTGGGAGGTGCTTCAGTCTCTTTTGGAAAGGCTGGGCTTAAAACTCCAGGACGCTCCTCCTCCTCCACGGGACACCTCCCCAGCATCCCCCAGTTTTAGCTCAGCCTTCATGGTAAGAGGTTGTGCACTCCCTGACTGGAACGGTTTTCTGATTCAGGTTTGTTCTTGGGTCATTTCGGCTTTTAAAATTCTTCCCCATTTAATTTGGCTTTTTCAGGCTTGTCCCTCTATTAGGTTACCTCGATTAGTTAAAAAAACAAAACAGTTTCTTTGTAAATAGCGGAGCCTGCCACTCCGCAGGCAGCTTGAGGCTACCGCCTCAGGCAATTACCTTATCTAACTTTCCGATCGCCTTCTCTGCGATCGGAGCGGAGCGCTCGCAGCCGCGGCTCACTTTGCCTTGCCATTTCGTCTGACAGCAGCATTTAACTCACAAGTTAGAGCCTCAGCAGCAGCGGCTCATTAGACAGCCCAGACATTAGCAACGGTGATTCTGCTTCCCGCCCTTTTCAACGGCTGGCTCAACTTTGCGCCTAATTATCACAGGCGCCATTCCTCGCTGGTTTCCCTTTCTGGGGACCGAGGCAGTACCTTTCCATTTTGTTCTCCCTGGGTTTAGCTCTCCCTTATCTGGCTAATGTTGGATAAGCAGGCTAGTCATTAAACAGGCATTTCTTTGCAATTGCCTTTGGATCATTTCTTCGGACTGAAACTGCAAGTGCCATTTAAATTGCGGGACGTTTGGTTTTGACAGGAAAGGATTCACCTCAGAGCCTGTATAGCTGGTTTCCCTTGTTGGGGACCAGGGATCCAGAGTTTTTCTCGCTTGGAGCACTTGGGGGTTTCCCTTGTTGGGGACCCTTAGATACTGTTTACCATATACACAGTTATACATATAGATATAGGCATATGTCTATGTATATGGGCATGCATATATAGATATACATAGATATATAATCTTACTCTCCTGGAGGAGTGTTCTACTTTCAACCGCAGGGGAAGGCATCACCCCAAAGTACAAATATTAACAACAACAACAACAACAACAACAACAACAACAACAATAATAATCATAATATTTTTTTTAAAAAAAAGGAAATTTAAAATTAAAGTCAGAAGCAAGACAATCAGTCATCCACAATGGAAGGTGACAACGCTTTCCGCTCCAAGTCAAATAAGTCCTGAGATAAGCCAGTGGGCCCCAAAAAGGCCTCTAAGGTGGCGGATAAGGATGCCCATAGACGGCACCTAGCTTTGGAAAGGCAATTGCAGAAACGAGCCAGGGAGGCAGACAAGATGGCTATGACACAACAATCTGATCAGAACCCAAAACCATTGATGGGGCCCTTGGACTTATCTACCCAGCCCAGGCAGGCTGTTTCTGGACAACCTCCCATAGGCACATCTCCTCCAATGAGCACTGCCCGGCCAATCCCAGAGGCAACCTTCACCCCTACGGTCGCCGGCCTAAGACAGGAGGAGAGATTACCTGACACTATCCCCATCGAAATGAGGCAATGGATGGAGATGGCGATTCAAAGGGGCATTGCGGCTGGAGTTCAGCAATCCATCAGGACCAGACACTTCTCGGCTGCTTTGGATGCGGGATCTCTGTCCGCTCGATCCTTTGCGCATATCGGACAACATCAATCTCAGGCATTCCCCAATATTCCCAACATACCAGCCCAGGGTCTTCGGGAGCAGGTGGACTTTGAGAATCAGGATGTTCCCATGGAGGGTGGGTGGGTCGATCCATCAGATGGACTTAGGGTTGTCAGAGGCTGACCCGCTAGAACGGGGAATGTCAGACGACGAAGGCCTCATTCCAGACCAGCCTACTTTTTCTGGCCTTTTTCGCCCATACCTCTTTAAATCCTTACTGTTCAAGGCAAAGAACACCGCTAAACTAGGCACATCAAACCCTCATCCATTGTCAACAGGGTCTCTGGACGAATCTGAGGATCTAATATTCTCACAACCAGCTAATGAGGCAGAAACTATTCCTGTCCCTCATATGTTTGCTGAATTAGTACAAAATCAATGGGCATCAGCAGCATCACACCCAGCCCCAACAGGGTACGATAAACGATATAATTTGGCACCAGAGTTTTCAAATTTTCTCAAAACGCCGGAGGTGGATGAGCCCATTGTGGCACTGGCCTCTTCTTCAACCTTTCCCGACGAGGCCGAGGAAGCCCTGAGACCAGAAGAAAAGAGAGCAGAGTTGGCACTCTGTAGGGCACACGTTTCTGACGCCTGGGCCATTAGGGCAGCTACAGCTGCGTCCTTTTTTACACGGTCTTCCCTCTGATGGCTCTTCCACTTGAGGGATATATTGCTGGCGTCAAATGACAGAGCCCACCAGGACATAGCTAAAATTATTGCAGCGGCAGAATTCTCCGCCGACGCCACATTTAATGCAGTCAAATTCTTGTCTAGGGCCATAGCATCTCACATATCAGCACAGAGACTGCTATGGCTCAGACATTGGCAGACGGATACCAAGCATAAATGCAAGTTGCCATCAGCCCCAATATCGGGGGATAAATTATTTGGCAGTGTCTTGGAGCCCCTCCTTATAGAGAATAGAAACAAGAAAAAAGTGCTTCCCCCACTGTTAGGAATAACATAGGTTACCTAACGTAGTTTGGGTAAAATAATATA